TGTTCAAAAGACTCGATTACTTTCAAATTCCGTGTGCTGTGTGCTTGCGAGACAGACGAACCGTCACGATCGTTACTCCAGGCCGAGACACTTGCCAATCGGGTTCGTGGCAAAAGGAGTATGCCGGGTTTTTAATGACACAGGAAGGTGTGGCTGCGGGCTCCAAGCTTATCTGTGTAAACGCCGATGCGCAGGGCGTGGATAAGAGCAATACGACTAGTTCTCAGGGACCATTTCTGCAACCTGTTGCGTATAAATGCCTTGGAGCCTCGTGCACTGAAAGCCATAATAAACCGATGGCATTGCCTTGCGTTGTATGTTCGATCTAAGGCAGACAATAGTGGTATAAATATATAATATTCATGGCATTTGGCGTTGCCTCACGCAGATGAATTCACACAGGAGCACGAAGGAGAATCTTCGCCGAAAGTGCATTAGTTCGTTTGAAAGTAATTACCATATCACGTCACGAACAAGAAAATACATATAGATCTGCGGAAAAGCAACAAGTGGAACGGTGTTTTGCAGCCAAAAGAGAAGAAAAATGTACTCAAATGGAGTCTAAGCCGCTAAGTAACATTTCTACCATATTAGAAAGGCACTGCGTGGCAATATATCTTGGTGGTGGTTTTTAATATTTGATGTGAAGACTGTTCCTTCTATTTATCCGTGAGATCGTGGAGATCCTGATTGCTTTGCGTTTCAGGCGGCCATCTTGAATGCCATTAGTGTCATAACCCCGACTCCCGCCCCTTCGATATATATGAAACCAGGATGGCCGCACGTGCCGGCAAGCGCTCGATCCTGACGATCTTACGAAAAAGCAGGGGACTGTGAACAGTCTATCTGATATGCGACGACATATTTTATTTCGTTTGTCCTTAACCAATCAGAAAAATGATGCATGCGAGAAAATTAGAAAATATAGTACCACACGGTCATACAAATGCTGATATTATTGAAAACGAAAGAGAGACTGGGTTTTTCGGTTTATTTTACCTACAGCCTTTGGCAAAACGACTAAAAGCCGAACTGGTTTCGTCCAGCTGTGTAAACTGATATTCATCCCATTCGACAATATGCCCCGAAGTATAATACTTGCCTGCCTGTTCATATTTATATGCCGTTTTATTCTACATTTAGCTTATTATACAAGGGAGGAATTGTCGAGCTCTGAATTTAGTAGTATACTTGTTCGAATAGGAAGAAAAGTGTTTTCCTGGAGACCTTAAAATGTTCAAAAATTGAGAATACAGTTGCTTTTTGCTAAAGAACGTGCACAATATTAATCCCGACTTTTAATTTGGAAACACGTAGTCATACCCTTTTGACTGTGGATGAAATTAAGCAGTGTACAAACGATTTTTAGCCCGGTATAAACGATCAAGCTTCGCGTTTGGACGCGAAAATGAGTAATTTCACCTCATGCAAGGGAATCCGGATTCTGCAATTCTGGATATATTTGCTTGTGGAATCCGGAATACGGGAAATTTTGTTTGTGGAATCCGGAATCCTGGGCTCGTGGAGTCCGGAATACAACTCAAGGAATCCAGAATCTCCCTTACGGTTGCAATCTGGAATCCCAGTTCCACTGACAAAGAATCCGAAATTCAGTACCTGAAATCCAGAATCCACGACATGGAATCCAGAATCCAAGACTGTCTTGCATTCCCTTACATGAGGTTTTGTCAAATGACAATGGTTCTGCGTAATCGCCATAAATACTTACGAATTTGAAGACTTTTATAATAAAGTTCAGTTGTAAAAATAATTCTTGGAGAGATAAAGTACCCTCGTCTGATATAAATTGAAATGCAGGTTTTTACCTTGCTCAGTTTTGTGCTGTCGGATCATTGCTTTTTACAAAGTGATCGAGAAAGAACAGACGAAACCTTGAAATAAGTTGATTTCATAGCAATCAAAAGCTCAGTTTTGGAGGAATCTTTGAACAACGAAATGCTGGATTTAATGGCGAAATTATGCCAAGCTATGACTAGGTACTTGTCTGTGGGGGAATGAGAGAAAAAGGTTCTCGCAGCAGAAGTCAATCTTTAACGAATTAAAATTATTCCTGAAGATAATGCTCCTGTAATGAGGGTGGGAGAGCTCTATTTATACTGCCTTTTCGGTTGTGCACACTTTGCCGAAAGTAACAACGAAAGACAAAATAAAACGCACAAAGAGAAAACTCTTTATTTCTCATAGTACCCCCTTGTCCTAGCTAGCTATTTTTTATCGCGAAACTGATAAAATATTGTTGGTGACTATTTCACTGTATTCTGTCTCCCCCATCCAGAGATCAGGAGCCAAATAGCTAGTTCCACCTGTTAACCCTCATATTTGGTGACAATGCGCCCATTCAGAGGTTGAGGAAGACGGAAGTTGTTGCAGATGGAGTGCTCTTCATGATCACGAAGACGCCTCATCGCCCTCAACTGTATAAGAAAAGTACACTGCATTAGTTCAATCAACGAAAAGTGTCATTCTAGCCAAAAAATAGCAATAATAATAACAAATAATTAAAAAAGAATCATTTCAAAAAGAAATTGAATTCAACCTTTCACAAACAAGGGTCTCTGAAAGGGTTCTTTGATCCCGTCATCCCGACCTAAATTTTCACTCAATCCCGTACAATGGTTATTTTCGAGGATCCTGTATCCCGTACATTCTATCAGTCTAGAATCTCGCCCGCAACCCAGATGTTCAAATAAGTGAAGAGAATATGTTGTCTTTGCCCTAAAATCTGAATTTGAATATGGTTAGACCTTCTTGTCTTCTCTTCGGCCGTTTAGGGCCAAAAAAAAAAAACGTTAACCGAATGCTACGCCCCCAACAGCGTTAGTTTGATTTGGTTTGTGGGAACGAAGTTGGTAAAAGATCGAGTTTTTAGCCGGACCATGCCAAACCGGTCAATCAGCAAGGTGGGCGTGGAGTGCTCGACAGGGGTGAAGCTTTCAGTGGCCTGAAATGGCAAAAAAAAAAAAAAAAACATAATCCTATTTCGCAAGCTGCGGGCCCCCTTCGCAAGGCCGTTAGAATATGAATGATAACTTTAAGAAAAAAAAAATCACCATCAAACCTCGTTTATGCGACGGTCGCATTCTTTTCAACTCTTCTTCCGTGGGAATTCTTTTATGCAAAAATTCGTAAAGTTAAAATTTCAAAACAGAGCTCTTCTGATTAAACCATAAGGGTTATTAGCCCTCTCTTACAATCCTCCAGGAATCACTTAAAATGGTATGAAATCAAGAGAGAATAAAAGGCACAGAGAAGGCATCCTCCATACACACCCTATTCCATAGGTAATTCGTCTTCAGTTATTTTTAGAATCGGGATAAAGTTACCTCGCGCGCTGCGTGGATGTTTCGTGGAGGTTTCGCATAACTAATCGCCGTGCAAAACATGTCGGCGAAAGACAATGAAAGCGTAAAGAGATCGAGAGCATTCCTGAATATTGAAGCGAAATGAATTGGCGCTCACCTGGGAAAAGGGAATCGCTGAACTCTTTGACAACCCGTGAAATCAGTTTAACTCGAAGTTGTCGTAACCTCAGTGCTTTAATAAAATGAGAAATTTCGCCGGTCTATTGAAACCGGTCGTCTGTACAATAAAGCAAGTAAGACGCCAAGTGTTATTTTTGTTGAATAATAAAAGAATAAATATCAAACCAGAAATTGCTCTCTTCAAACTGTAAATTATAAATGATCTTGAGAGACTATTCTGTGTGCTAAGGATTTCCCTGCTGTACTGTTAGCTCTATACAAGAGAGGAAGGGCGATTCTTTTTTAATTTCCGTTTCTCTGACACAGCTTTAGCAGAAATCTCTCTGTAGTCGTTTTCGTCGACAACACGAATAGCAATAGCTAGCAATATCGCTCTCTGCCATTTTGTTCTGCGTCAATTCGTGAAGGACGCGTGGCTCTGGGCGTGGGTCATCCACCCGCAACACATTCGCGCTATGTGATTGGCTGTTGTCTAATCCCCCTTGGGATCTGTGGTCTTAAAAATAACTCGAGACGAATTACCTATGGAAAAGGGTGTGTATGGGGGATGCCTTTTCTGTCCCCTTTATCCTCTCTTGTATGAAAGAGAATACTAGTACAAAACCTTGGAAGACCTGGGTGGAAACGGGACTTAAAGCAACCACCCCGGCCGACCGCACACAAACTGGTGTTGATTTCTTCTAACAGAGAACCTTTACTTTACAAATACGGTTTGTATTTACTAGGAATAAACTTTGTCAATGAGGCGAAAGTTGAAAAATGGAATAACGTCTCCCTTCTAATTGGCTATGTCCTTGCCTCGACTCCGAAGATTAACACCCCAAATTATTTTGCCATGTAAGTTTAAAAAATCATATCTCTGGTGTTATTTACAGTTCAATATCAAGCTATACCTCATTGGAAAGGGAAAAGAATACCCTTTCGAAAAAAAGAAATATTTCGGTCGTAGGAAACCCATGATATTTCGCCACAAAAAAAAATTAAAAAAGCATATTTTGCAGAAAATTTTTTTAAAATTTTTAAAGAATGTCATTTAGCTAGTAAACTTCCTTATTTTGGGTGATATGGTAGTAAGAAATTATTTTCATCAATATCTAAGCAAAAAAACCCCGAAAATTATTCTAAAATATGGAGCGACTAGAAATTTTCTACAATTTTTTTTTCTGCACGCTCTCATGATTATGCTAATTAGATTATCATAATTAGCATTAAAATTAACACACCCCATCCTCCCCCCTTCCCCGGGGAGTCATTTTTAACATTTGGGGGATATTTAGACACACTTGCAGACACTCTGGGTTCAAGTCCAAGTCAAGTTCAAACACATAGTACAAATTGATAGATGGCTAACGTGTCTTCCCTAACCTTTATTTTCTTGATTTAGTATCTTATTACCCTATAATTAATCGTAAAGTTAATTTTTAAACAAATAAAATGAACAAAGAAGTAAATAGGACATAAATCAACGAATAAATGACATAAGAAATAGATAGATATTCAAGTAAGAAAGGTTCGTACATCCTTTTTACTGGCATCAATAGGAGTTTTCAGTACAATCCACCGCACGGACTCGTAGCACGGGGGTGTGGTCAGAGAACCTTTGTAAGAGTAAAATGACGCCTTCGACAAATCTTCCAGCTCAGAAATCAGGTTGTAAAGGGAAACTTTTTGTACGGCGACCGATGCACCTGTAAGTGAGTTTGAGAAATGGCTCAAGTGATTGTTATATCATCGATCCTGACCAGATAAAAATGGCAATTGCTCAAAATTGGCACACCACAAAAATCTTCTTAATAGAGCCAAATATACCCCGGAACCGGCGACCTTTCTCAAAGACCGAAGTTTATTTGTTCAAGGCAACTCGAACGACCAGACTTTTGGTGATTTCATTTGTCTGAGGACGTATGTATATGTCCTGGGTAGCTGAGTGACCTCACACAGGACGTATATATCCTTCTTTTTTTGGCGCATATAGACGTCCTTAATGTGTCAATCACGCGTACTTAGGGACCTTACGATCCGACAACGACGACGTCAATGAAAACGTCGCTGAAAAATAGCTCCCGCATCCTTTCAAACCATTTCGTCGACAAGTTACTTAAAACAAGGGACTTTATGTTGGAGCTGAAGAGAAAGGGCCACGCCCGAGTTCAAACAGAGATGGTATAATTTATCGCCTTGCCGTTCTCATCTTCATGTTTGGTCATTTCACGTAGCCGAGCAGGAAATGGAAAAAAATGTACAAAAAAGCGTGATGCACTTATTGTCGTTGTTCTCGCTGTCGCAAGTTTCGTAAGGTCCCTAAATATTCCCGAAATTGCTTGTAAAAGGCAAAATCACAGCTTCACGTGAATCAAATATGACTCCCAAAAAGTCTATCAAACAAACTTGAACTTTGAAAAAACTGTTAGGCTAACAGGCCATTTGCGATCCGCTTCAATCTTCTTCAAAGTTGTCCTTCCGTTTTTCTTTCGCTGTTATTATTTATACTTTTTTCTTCATTTTTTTGAGGAGTTATTGTTTTATTTTTCATTCATTTTAGTGGCGGTTCCCACTGTTTAAATTTTGATAAATTTTGGGACACAGTCCTACCCCAGGAGGGGGGAGTTATTCCTGGGAATTCGTGGTGGGGGTGTGCCGCCCGGTTCTCCAAGTCCTTACCCTATTTCAGACCCCAAAATTGACATTTTCCACACTCGTTTTCAGACCTGGCCCTTAAAATCCATACCCTTTTATCAGAAACTGTGTTATCATATCTTAGATTAGAACGCCAAGAAAATGATTTCTTAAAATCCACCTTGAATTAGCATATTACTATACCCAAATTCAGACCAAGGCAGGCAAAGTTTATACCCGTTTTCAGAACAAAACCGCGCAAAAATCATATCACTTTGGGGCGGCACATACCTATTTGGCAATAAGGCAAATAATAAGGGAGTACTCCCCTCCCCCTCGGGGAAGAGCTCCTTTACTTTTATGATAGTGAGAGTTCCTACAAGGATTGACTTATATAATACTACTTGATTGAGTAAAATCACGAGGTAAATTTACAGATTATATTGAATGAACATTGACTGCAATGGACCGCAAACGAATAGGCCACAGAAAGCAGGATCTGATAAAAAATATATATAACACACGTAACACACTGAAATCTCTAAAGCTGATCGTTCTTCCATTTTCACGTAGTGCGATCAGATTTGCAGATTTCAGTGTGTTGTATTATGTATCGAGGAGTCTAAGTAGCATAGTGCGAATCAAAATGCAACATAAACATCAAGTAAAACAGATAATTTCCATTTGATTAAGGAAATGGATTAGTGAACAGTAATCACGCGAACCTACCCGCCTTTTGAATCCGTCTCATTTTGCAAGCCAAGACCCTCAATTCCGGGTTTCCAGTATCATCATCATCATCATCATCATCATCATCACCTTCTGTTCCCTAAATTTATCGCACACATCCAGGAATTAAAGAGAAAAACTAGAGAAAAACCTGTGCGGTATCGTCGGAAACAAAAGTGATAGAGATCTAATTTTTTTTAATGGCTTATCCTTCCACTAGCTCTACAGTAGAGATTTATCTTGCTTTTCGGTGGAAAGGTTAGAACATGAAACGCCGTTTAGGAGTGTATAAGGCTAAAGCGCTACCGGTGGGAGATACGGCCTTATTCATGCCCTTCGCGACTTGAAAAACAGAATGTGCGAAAAAACACGACTTTTTTCTTTCTAAGTCTACCGTGTTTATTTAAACATTATCAGCTATATTATTGTTGTGAATTTTGTCCACTGGCTAGAACGTACGACGAGCAGCACCACGGGGAAATTCATAACTTGTGAAGGGGAGGCAGAAGACAGTGCTAGAGTGGTTCTATCATATGCTAGAGCGCTATGCTATGACTCATGCAAGATAATCATAATTTAAGTGGAGGGGAAGGGGCGAGGACAAAGCCTCTTTCTGGATACCCTCTACTCTCTCATGGCCATGTGGTGCAAACCTGTAAAGACTCATTTAATATATTCTTCCTTGGCAAAACGAACGTAAACCAACGCTGAAATTTGTAACGAGTTATACCTTCAGGAAAATGCCAATAACAGATAGTCCATCTTCCTTGTCCGCAGCGGTTGAGAAATCAGGGTACTTTGTGTGATAAGTAACCAAATGGAGCTGAAAACACAAAGTTGATTTTAACTAGTCAGAAGTAATTTTCATGCCTGACAACTCTCTGTTGCTGAGTTTACGATATATTACGTTTACTCTAGTCTGTGAAAACAGCAGATATTATACAACTATCCTTCGAAGGGGTGGTGAATAGTGGTGGTGGATATATGTACCGAGACGCGAAGGGTCTCTGTATATATTTAGCGCTGTTCACCGACCCTGAGAGGGATAATTGTTTTAGTATGTACCAAATCAGTTGGATAAAAATAAAAAGGCAACTTTTTGCAAATTAAAAACTTCACTTAGTAGGAACTTTATTTGCAATTCACAAACATTTCGGGGATTTTGTCGAGTGCATTTTCACGATTTTGCTACAAACTCAGCATGAAAATAATTTTCTTCCTACCAATAAACACCAACAAGCCAAAGTTAATAGCTTTCTTGGTATTTGTTTGTACCACTGCTTTACTTATCTTTCACATTTCGTCTTCCGAAAATGTCTCAGCTTCGAGACGCCACCTTGACTCCAGGCGCAAAACAGTGAATAGCCAAGGACATTCCGAGTTACGAGAGCCAATCAAAGCACTCGAAAAGTGCTATTCACTGATTTGGCAAACACTAAGATGTGATGCCATCACTGGTTTCTCTGGTTTCTCTGAGAAATAACGTCTGAGGAACGCGTGCGCAGAAATTCCATACTGATTTCGCGCAACTACTCACATCTGATTAGTGTTTCGAAATTCCGATTGGATGAAGTAAATTTCCGACTAATTAGAGACACTAACGCCCCGACCAGATCTGGGTAGTTGCGCGTCATCACTATGGAACTCCTCCGCTCGTTCTTTCGCAGTAGTGGAATCGCGAAACATCGGCTGTTTTTAAGGCTAAGTTTACCTTACCTCTCCTGAATACGAGTCTCCATTAACGGTATGCTCAGATCCTTGGTCTTGTTTACATCCAAAGTGAAAATGAAATTGCTCAAGTTTATACACACCATGTCCTAAGGGACCTCCAGTCATCGACGCCGTTCCCTTGACCTTGGAGATTGCCAAAGTTGGCGCATGGCCATTGTTGGTTAGCTTTCCGCTGACTTTTCCATTCTCGTTATCACTTGTAAATCTCAGTCCTCCTAGATGTGGATCATTCTGGGCCGTGTTTGTTCTTATGTTTATAGGGGACTGGGCTCTCCCAGAGCAATGCTTCCAAACAATATGCCAATCGTCTGGACCGTAGCCTGTTTGGTCTAAATAAACGCATTCAGAAACATTGTGCATTGTGGCTCTATTTATCATTTTTATTTCGTCTAACAGCAATTAAAAATACTTTGAAGCTATAGTTGAAATTTAGAAAATGGTATGTTCGGAGGCCCTTCATGTTGGGCCCTTTTGCTGTCCCAGCTTTCGACAAAGTGTGTGTGCTGTTAACTCACCACTTGTGACTCGAGGCGTAAGGGTTTTTTATAAATTCCACCGGAACGCCAATTCTTTGTTAAATAGATGTTAAATTTCAAAATTGGCCGCCCTGACTCCACCCTCTCTACCTTTATACATCCTGGCGGTCGTAAGTCTCCCACGCAAACTTCCTTAGGGGCTTCGTCACGCGTTCCTGTCCCACAAACGTCTGCTGAATCGTGCGGTAAAATACGTAGACCAATCACGGCACTCTTCCAGATGTAGGAAGTGCACTTTAAACCTTGAGAAATTTCGCGCGAGACTCAGCTCCAGAAAAGATCAGAAAGGTCTCGAAAGGTGAAGACGCCTTCGTACTAGAGACCGGCCCTCACGATCTCATTGAAAAAATTACCTCGGAGGTTGCTGAACGGAAGTCGGCTTTAGACGTCGCTTTAATACAAAATAATAATATGCGAAAAAAAAATGCTGTCTTTTGTTCATTAACAACGTAGAACCACGCCGTTGTCGTGGGGATTTGGTGCATTTAATTTTACTTAATTGTAAAGGACACTTGTAAGCATATTGAAGCTTAATAAACGGGACGGTGGCTTGGCTGGCCAACGCGCCGATACATTATCATTTTGGGTGCCCGGTTGAGCAGTGGAGGCAAAATCGTGTGATTTTGTCCTTGACGAGTATTTTCTTAAGATTCCATAGCGAATAAAGACGGATAATTGGCATTTAACGAAATGAACTGGACATCCGCCGGACAAACCCCTTTAACTGGTGCAACACAAATAACTCTGGTTTTGTAATTTACTTTTAAAGACGACTAGTACTTTCCAACAGATAGTACTGCATTTATTACATAAATTTATCATTAGTTTTCAGACTGGGATACCACACTCTAAATCAGAAAGATCTGTTTTAGCGCTAAAAATAGGGCCGTTTTGGTGAGTAAAATACCGTCCTATTTTTGAGTCTAATTTGGCTTCCTTAAGTCAGGGCCAATACAGTCTAATTAGCTGGGGCTGATTTGGTCCCAGGGCTGAAATAGGCCCTACAGTGGGCTAGAATAACCTTTTGATAGAGATGGCTCCAGGAAGGGCTGAATCTGACCTTGGCCTGCAGGGCTGAATTGACACATTGGGGCTGAAACAGATCTTTTCAATTTTTCAGTGCATACACACCAGTTTCTCCGTATTTCCAGTGCGATCCTGCAAAATAGGATAACGACCATTTATTAGACGACTTTGATCAAGAGACGGGGAAAAAGTATACACATATCTCACCCTTGCCATCAGTGTTTCACGTCGTCATATTATTCTCTCGTTTTCCGTAATAGCCTGCCATGCATACATACACTGTTTACAGGTAGCCATTTCGACTCCTGAAGGAGGATCATGAGGTTAACCCTACACTAAGATCTTCCCTTAGAGATAACCCACCTGGCCCAAGAAAGGTTTGCCACACCACCGGGATCTACGTCCCCTACTCTTTTCGAGCAGTGGTGTGGGTTCTTTTATTTGCGTCCCACAAGAACCAGATAAGCGAAAGTGCGCTGTGAGATTGGACCTACGGTTTTTCGTCCTTATCAGAGACGACTAGAAAGTCTAACCGTTTCAAGATGTCATTACAAAGGCAACACTTTCTCCTCAGTTGTTTAAAGACCCTAAGTGTTGGTCCAGCCGGGGTTTGAACCCGCGACTTCCCGCTCAGCAGACCGGCGCCCTGCCATCTGAGCTGACCAGGCGGTGGTTTGATTTATAGGCCATCACAATTTATGTGGGTGCTGTTATAAACTCCACCCGGTATACCTCAATTGGATAAGCCCCAGTCGGTTTTGTTTCTTTTGTTTTTGTTTGTTTGTTTTTGTTTTACGCTGTCTCCAGCGTAACCTCCCAGGCAGACTTTCTTAGGGGTGCATCACGAGTTCCTTAATTCGCCACGAACAGGATCATAAATATAAAATAAGGTTTCGTGTTCTAAATGGGGTTGCGAAAAGAACAATTTTTCTCTTGAAGTTTATAAACAGGGTTTGGGTTTTGAAGGCCTTGGCGGCGCACCTCTACCCAAACTTCCAATGAGTGCAATCGCACCCTCGCCTCCCTACTCTTTCAAATTACTCTGCCCGATGATAAATCATTTTTTCGTCATCTCTTAGTACCAAGAGAGAATCAGTGAATCTTGCTAGAACCGCATTGTTTTTGTCCGGATTACAAGCTCTTAAAATAAACTAGTAATCAATGGAAACTAAGGCCACTGAACTCAACTAATCAACCACTCAACTGACCTTCAACACTCTGAAGTGTAGTCAAGAAAATAAGCAATCCTGTAGCCCGAATCATCTTATGTCTGGAAACAAATAGAATGGTATTACGAATAATTTCTTGGCGGTTAGTTGCTATTATTACGAAATATGATGTCATATGCGGTGATACGAATCCATTTTTGACTGAAAGATGTCAGTGTGTACTTCTTTCTTCCTCGGATATCTCTATGTAAAGGTAACATATGACAATTAGAGCTCCTTGTTGGGGAAAAGGTAAAAAAGGCCAGCTAAGTACATTGAGGGGGAAAGGGTAGCCGTTCCTCCCCTCATTTTCCCTCTCTTCCCGTCTTCCCCGATATTTAGCCGCCCATTCCGATACTGAGAACCTGTTCAGGCAGTCAGTTGGGTTAGAAGAAACCGCACGAAGAAAGTTTTCAAGCGAGAGACCGTCCTGACCCGACTGATTGTCCTGCAGGATTTCCGTGGATGAATAATTTTCCTGCAGCTAAAAAAAATGTGCAAGTCAGTGCCAAAGGTAGAAAAATATAAGTGTTAACAAATTTTGGAACCCCAGTATAGTAAGAAGGATAAGCATTAACAAGTTTCATTTTTCGGGTCTTTTTCTTATAAACGTAGGAGTTATTATTTCTATAGCCCTACAGACTATCAACTTCTATCCTTACTTGGAGAGAGATACCTTTTATCTTTTTTTTTTCTAGTTTAATTTAATGTTTAACTTTTTCTCGGTGGTGTGAGGGGAGTATCATTTGAAAGACTTTGTCTCTTGAGGATTTCTTAAAAGATGTTTTCTTTGATCCCTAAATCTGGCGGAGTTTTTTCGACACATTCAAGCAAACTAGTGTTTGAATTGACATATTGAACGGATGTCTTCAGCGTTGCATGTCTAGACCTATAATCGCTTTATAAGTGCCGGGCACGACTGCGAAAACATAGTATAAGCAGGTGAAAACATAACAGTTAAATAACGAGAGGGTGATGATTGACAGTCGATACTTTTAGCTTTTAAAATTTTCGTCTCGACGTTTTCCAGCAGATTCTCTTTGGCTCAGGTCCTTAGAGTATTAAAATCTGTGCCTACTTTATGTAATTTCACTTTATTGACCTGAATGATAGTTAAGGAACAAAAATTGGAAAAACTGCGACTGGCTTTTTTCCCCGCAATTTTCTAATTCCGTCACCAACAGTAACAAAAAAAAAATCCGTTTTCGTTTCTTTGGAAAAACCTATGCTTATAATGCTAAGCTTTCTCAAAGCCCGTTTTCCTCAGCATTAAGAATCTTACTTTGCAACTCAGTAACTTTAAGTACTGGCCAAAGTTTAAAGTGCCAAGCAACTGAAATTAATCCCAGCTACGCCATGATAATACATACATGTATATGCCTCACTCGGGGGGTGTAAAAAGTCAAAATTAGTATAACGAGACAAATTAAAATTTTCCTTGGTCTAAGTACTAACTACTGAATTAATGATGTTAATTTAGTAATGGCATCACTAGTTAGACAGGGCGTTACTGGGGAAAATTTCATTATTTTTTATTTGAAAATGTATTAGAAATGGTAGGGTACCACGCGAATATCCCTCAAGAATTGTCACTAAATAAATACTTTTTTTTAAAAAATCTATCTATCTATATATGCATGCATTTCAAAAAAGCTATCAGTCCCTCCCATTTAAAATTAAGGACCATAGGCGAAGAAATATATTTAGTTTAATAAGATTTGTTGCTTACTTAACATGGGAATAGGGTAGTCTGCTAGATCATTAACGTCGATGTGGGAAGTGTGAATATCGGCTTTGCTCCATAAAAACGGATAATATTTTCAGCAAATTATTATGTAAGTCGCGGACCCTGTAAAAGAGGGGGAAAATGAAAGACATGGTACAGAGAATTTAATTGCACTTACCTGTTATTACTTATTGCTGCACTTCAGTTTATGGCACCGAATTATATCAAGTTTGCGTTTACGCAAAGTTACGACGTTTTTTTTTCAGGCTATGCAAACGTATTTGATTGGTTGGTGATGAAGATCCAGTGAAAGAAAAGCATGTCAAGCCATGACACTCGGCTAAGTAAAGTAATAAATGCCACAAAAACGCTACAGCAACCCAAATAATCAGGCCAGCAAGCAACCATGCAGGTCCCTCTCTTGGCCTTGTCGTTGAAACGTTTTGGAGTATTATCCAGTGGATAACTTAATTGGTTTCTTTAACTCTTATTTTAACACTTATTCTATGAATAACGTTTTGTCTCTTGGGTAGCAGCCTATCCAGCCTTTGAACAAATCGAGGCCAGAACGGCTGAGTCAATTTTGAACAAAAGCTGTTTCAATTGGTAGTTTTTGAACAATAAGAACTCATGATTGTACGGAAGCTTAAAGGTGCCATCCGAGATTCGAAATCCGACATCCGACATCCGACACCCGAGATTCGACATCCGACATCCGACATTCGACATCTGACATCCGAGATCTGACATCCGACATCCGAGATTCGACATCCGACATCCGAGATCTGACATCCGACATCCGACATCCGAGATCTGACATCCGACATCCGAGATTCGACATCCGACATCCGACATTCGACATCT